AAGGGCTACGGTAGACCACACCGAGAAGGAGAGAATCGGACCCGCGCAGCGGGATTTGGACCCACAGTGCATCGCAGAAGGGTGCAGGGGTGTTACGGTTCGGTCACGCAGCGAGCAAACAATATGATAATGCGGATTGTGGCAATACTCTATCCCCAGCTATGTTGCTTGATACAGACTCCTAGCACGGCGAATAGTAAGAAGACGAGAACCTCGGACACAAACTTTAATAATCCAACAACACACGATCAACAGGCGATGCCCGGAGCTTCCGAACCCAAGTCAGTGGAAAGAATGGTATCCTGTACGTGGTCGGATTTAAATTTCCTTGGAGTATCAATAGGCCATTGATTTCCCATAGTTTGACCTTGAAGATGCCGGGAGTTCGCTAGCACACATAAAAACAGCGTTTTCTGGGGGATATTGATATCCCCAACACCACCTTATAGCGTAGACAGGAACAACGGGTTCATCGTACCTGGCTGGCTAATGCAGAACTGCGGAAATTGTGAGACTGACCTGGGACCTTAGGTATAGGCTCTGGGGGCGAACCGATGAACAAAAGCTAAAATATTGTACCTCATGCCTTATTACAGAGGCTGATTTCGAATGAACGTATTACATTTGTAATCTAGTAAGATCGACTCACCTGGTGACGAGCGTTTGCCGAAGTAGACAAATTATGGGATACGTAATAAGTTCGTTCAGATGACGGAAGCATACGCATTCGTGTGAACAGATACACCGGCTTTATGTTGATACTTTTCTCGGAGAGTCGTTCGAGCTCTGAAACGAAGTCCAACTTTAATCCGCTAGTGTTTTCCTTCTCACGGTAAAAAAGCTCCCGTGCCCGGTCACGACAGGATAACTAAAAGGCAAGGTAATAAGTTAAGGTAATAAGTACATGAATTACGTGTACCAATTAGACATCAACCATTAAATCCACCAAGCGCCTTGTAACAGCCCAGCACTCGAGTCGTAGTTAAGATGCAAAGAATAAGAATCCAGAAAATAGGGTTTCGTATTCAGAGAGCATGACCTAATCCCTCTCTGGAACGCGGCGCACACCATATTCGAATAAACTCTCACTACGCTAAGTTTATCAGGACGGGACCCCGTTGTTACACCTTTATTTGTGGTCCAGGGGCTAGAGGTTTAGGTGCGGATTCTTGACCAAAAACTGCACACCTCAAGTACAATGCCTGACTACTAACTTACATCTGACTAAATATGTGCAATCACACCGAGCAGAACTAACCACGGGAAATGTGCATGGAAACTGTGCATGGAGCATCCTTGGTGTCTCAAGATATACACAATACTCACAGCAAAGATGGTCTTTCGCTACGTCAAGGATGACATTCACCTGTAGTCGCCACAGATACCTTCACAGACAGACCACGATGTTCCTGACACCACCACGGTGAGAAGACGGATGACGAGAGTAGTGATGCCCTGGGTGTTGTCGCAGAGGATCTTGCGATAGGGTTCGGTAGCCCTCTTTACCAGTACCAGAACTCCATGACTGCGATGTGCAAATGAGGTCTCCTAATTCCTCAGCATCGTCGCGGGTGGGTCTTAGAAAACGAATACAGTTGTCCATGTATCGTGCTGAAATGCTCTCAAATGGATTGCTACCAATCAACCTCTGCCAAGTCCCATTCGCTGCTCTTTTGTGATAGGTTTCCATCAAAGTGAGGGGTCGAAAGGCGGGTGTCCAACGGAGCTCAGAATTCATTGGTTATCCTACTAGGAGTCGGCTAAACCTACAAAGGGGAGTACCCGAAAGCAGCTCCGACGAATCAGACAGATAAGATGAGCTCTGACCTAACGGGAAAGATAACACCTCTCCTCATACTGCTACCGTACAGTTCAAAATTGGTTGAAGAAAATCCTCGAACAAAAGTCCCATGACACTGTAGACGCAACAATCGTTCTTTTCATGCTACGGGATTCCCGGTAAGGGATATAACTTTGGCTTTACCTGTGACTTGGATGATCGCAAGGCGTGCGGGGAAACTCAACCTTATGGAGATTTTTGTTGGATGTTGATGTAAGAAAACTTGGATGTTATCAGCCAAACAGTTACTATATGTGCTCTTTACGAGTATGTGGTTGATATACTCTGCTTACCGAAAGTCCGGATGCCTGGTCGATGTACCCGAAAATCAAGTTCCGGGAACAGACCGTCCCCCTGTGTTAGGCGGAATTCCTCACCGACACCAGTCGCAGTTAGGTCCTATTACGGCCAAGAAGCCTATCGCAGACGGGTTTTTAAACCTGGTTTCCAGTGTTTACACGTTGTGCATCTTTCGTCGTTGCTTTCACGGGAACGTTAACCGGGAGGTTCAGACCGGGAACTAAGCTGGAGAAATACCGTCATTACATTGACTCCACAAGACAGTTCTGACCTATATTAGATAGTCCTTGCATCCGACAATCTCGCCCAATCTCTGCCCTTAGTACCCCATGATTTCAACATGTGGAGGACAAGATGGCTCAGTAGTCACAGCGCGGATTTACTGGCCGGAAGGTCCGTGGTTCGAACCCAACCTCTGCCTTCCGATTCCCCCGTCTATGCTTCAGCAACCTGGCAGTATCCCAGCCCTCGAGCTTGCTTTGGGTGGCATGGTAGCTAGGCGCCGAAAGGATGTTACAGCTGAACAGTATCTATGTAAAGGGTCATTCATGATGTAGCTACTATCCACCTGGGGACTAAAGACTAAGAATGGATCTCCGAGCGCACAACGCGACCGTTCAGTCAGGCTGAGACGATTGTCAAACGCGCCAAACTACTCCACCACCCACTAAACAACAAAGGACCAACATGGCGACCTGCAAGAAAATTGCGTTAAATGTCAGTCAAAGCTACTTCGCCTTCTGCAACCGCCGGGATACAAGTGTCTGCTCAATCCTCCCCACACATTGTACCAGATGAAATCGGTTGGTATCCCTGATCCAGCTGCTGTTTTACTACACAGCCCCAAATCACATATGTGTACGGCGAAGATTCGCCAGCCCTTGGTTTGTCGTCTGGAGCGCAACAGGGTTGTCGACTATCTCCCATACTATTCAACTTTTAGGTCGATTGCATACCGAACTACGCTGTAAATCGGTATCGCAAGACGGAGGTTAAAAATAGTACATCGATCACGGGCCTTGAACCTGTGGAAGACTTAGCTGTCCTTCCTGTAGATGACCGAGGTCTACAATTAAATTTCAGTGAGACCCTTCCGGAGGCTTTAAACACAGATGCCTTATCCACCAGCAACCAACTCTGACGAGCCGTTTGCAATAAATGAGCGGCGCTAAAGAATGTTTGCGAGTTCAGACACATGGCTCAACCATTCTTCTTAACGGTTACGCTGAGGAAAGTTTCGATACATTTGGACAATGCACACAGAACATTACAACCGCAACGTGTGTAGTACCAAGGCTTGAATCTATTAGTCTGACATTCAATGTTTTAATGTAAGCTTGTGAAATCTGGCCAATACATGTTGCAGACACCTGCGAGATAAAGTGATACTTCCGACTACTGGTGTTTGGGCCGTGTCGAACAGTCGACCTGGCATCGCGCGAATAGAACAGTGATCCAGCGTCGACCCATAGTTTGAACAACCCACGACGAGCAGAACCGTCCTGTTAGTTGCGTAAGCCAACATGCCGCCAAGATGTACAAACCTATGCAACGAACAAGGAATCCGGTCGAAACACCTAGCAACAATATGGCAATGAGGTGTCTGTTGAGAAAAACTGTCAAGCAAAACCCAGCCTCAAACCCAGATGACCATGAAGTTGTGATCAGGCCCCTTTAATTATTATGTAGTCAGCAAGGGTTTTCGCACGGGCACGAGCTGAGACTCAAACTGTCGGAACACAGGCAGTATACTATGTCTGGTAGACATGTGCACACGGACAGATTTGGCGGCCGGTTTTTTCCTTGATAGTTACATGTGGGAACCTTCATATCGAGTTCCTCCAGTTTAGGGAGTTCAGCCCATTTGATTCCGACACTATTCCGGTTTGTCTACAGCAAATATAGCTTATTGTTTCAGGCTACATAGCAAGACTTCGAGTCACCTCGGGAAGCATCAGACTATCTTTATGGAAAACAGCAATTTTACCCATGTAAAAAGGAACATCAGGTCCTGACAAACCTGTAGAGCGCAGATCATAGCCTGTCTTCGCAGAAGTATGAACGTAGGCGGCGGTGGAGGCATCTTCTTGGAACGAGACGGTGACAATGGTGAACTACTCAATGAGTCTCCTGATGAGGAAGTAGCACAAGTTCCACTAAACGCGGGTGTCTGCTCCTTTAAGAACCGGATCTCCGAAATGGATGGAAGTCGGCCATAGGTTCCGTAGCGCAGTAAAGGACCCCACTGACCCATTGTTGGCTGTCGACCGCTCGAAACCGGGAGCGACAAAGCCGCCAGCATTGCCGAGGTTTGTACTTCCACAGAATAATCTGGTACAACACCGTTGCAGGCAGGTTCACCTCCATGTGCAGACATCTCCGGAAAGTTCCCCAATTGATCCCCGCGTTGTGGATGAAAGGAAATTTGAGCAGCATGCTCGGGAAAGGAAGTGGTTACGGCAGAAACATGTGTATGTGGCGACGGGATGTTGGGGAACTGATAGGCCGCAAGATGGGCCAGTTCACTGGGATAAATGAACAGCGGACTAACTTGATTGGTAGGAATGCACGGCATACCTTGTGTGGCTAAATTACTGAATGCTGCGGATGTATAAAAGGAGGGGAGCAATGAAACGTATGGGGAAAATTGTTGGTTTTCAGGCGTATACAGGGAACCTTCTGAAACCAGATAGCTCACTGGAGCACCAGATACCACCGTTGCCGTCTGTACTTCTGAAGTGCAGTGAACGGGCATCGTTTGGCTTGCAAACGGCTGAGAATGAACGGTGCTGACTGAAGGGACTGAAAGGATATGAGAAACTGTTTGAGGAGGGGCTAGGGCGGACTTAACGTCAACTCCGAAATTTTGGTAGAACCACTGTTCGTAGCTCTCCATCCATTGAGTGATTGCGCGCCTGACATTGGCTGATGACATGTGCCCAACAGGTTCAGAATCTGAAGTCTTTATGTTTAAGCCAGTATAGTACTGAGCGTACTCAGGTATATCCGAATACAGTTCAACGTGAGCTCTGTTGTATAGATCCGCATTTTGAGACACCAGCCTCAATGTTTCCTGGCTATACATAGCGCGGTTGGGAACGTTAGTATTTTTCTCAGGGTCCGCAGCATTCAGTTCGGCCGAACCATTAGCATATTCGTGCACTTCGCATGATTGTACCGTCGACATCATGTTCTGGAGCTGGTCCGTTACATCACAACGATTCTCAGTCTGCGTTGTAGCATCACACTGTTTCGGTTTCGGTAACGGCGCACTCGAAGTACCACTTGTCTTGGACCCGCGTGCACGATCCAGCACCGCTTTAAGAAACGCCTGAACATGCGCGTCAACTTGTTTGCGACGAACTGAATCACGGTTTTCACCAGTGCATCTTACGGCTGCATCAGACTCTCCACGTGCCTTTTTACACAATGGGTCGCCGATATCGCCTACAAGACAAGGGTAGATGGATGAATCGGACACAACCGGTGGGTGCAAAATTACAGAACAGCAGACCATAAAAGTAAATCACTCACTCATTTAAATGAAAAACCAAGGGACCGGGGAGTAGCACAGATCACGCCGTAACGACCCGCGCCTCATGACCCACTAGACAGTTCAAACAAAGTTCCTGTCATTTAACAGTTTTAAAACTAAAATGCGTCAATTTTTCGCTTGTTCTCTGATAATAAGGTTCTTTCGGCAGACATTTTGTCATGAATCACGTGATGCGAGCATGAACTCGGTACTCGGGATCGCGCGCCGCGCCTTATAAGCACAATGCTTTTGTTCTGCAAAATCCTTGCCAATGGAATGAAACTGTCCAAACTTTAATGATGTATTTTGTTCCATATGTGCTCAGACCAAAAATCATCTTAGTCTGCCGTGGATTTTCGCAACTTATTTTAACTAACACCTTAATAAATTTTTGGCGGACATTCGACTTTGAACACGCTGTGGAGCTCAGTATTCGCACAATGTAATTGAATTTTCGAAAGTTATGACGTGTCCCAGATGAACTAAGGCAATCGGGGAACTGAGTTGAGACTACTAGTCCAAACGTTTGAGTCCCGTTTAGGCAACTTGGGGTCTCAGCGATGATGGGAAAACTTTTAATCCAGGAGCATGATTCCTTCAGCCGAAAATGAAATTTTTATTGGGTTTCAGAAGAGCTTGATAAACAATCGGTAGTCTTTATTTGGACAACGTTTCGCTTTTGATACAAAAGCTCCAGCAGGCAAAGTGAGGAGGTCACCAAACTGGCTAAGTTATAAGGCAGATCGGGAACCAATCAGTAAGTCAGTTCTCTTCCGATTATCACACCAGATCAGTGTTGAGTGTCAATTACGGCTCTTGTCGGTTGGTGAAGTTGTCAAAATCTTGCTTTGGTGGATTGAGCGGGAGGGGGCAAATTAATTCTGGTCGGGTTTGTTTCGGTAGTCTTCCACTTCAGGGTGCTTCAGTTGATGATTCACTTCGGTTGTCACTGGTAGATTTTCCCTGGTTTTTGAGGGGTCTTGAGTGCTCCGACAATTTAGTCCGAGGGCCTGAGGCCAAGTGGAATCCAGATGATGACCACTCTTCCTTCTGATGACCGAACTAAAGTGACTCGAACCAAATTGTCGGAGCATTCAAGACCCCTCAAAAACCAGGGAAAATCTACCAGTGACAACCGAAGTGAATCATCAACTGAAGCACCCTGAAGTGGAAGACTACCGAAACAAACCCGACCAGAATTAATTTGCCCCCTCCCGCTCAATCCACCAAAGCAAGATTTTGACAACTTCACCAACCGACAAGAGCCGTAATTGACACTCAACACTGATCTGGTGTGATAATCGGAAGAGAACTGACTTACTGATTGGTTCCCGATCTGCCTTATAACTTAGCCAGTTTGGTGACCTCCTCACTTTGCCTGCTGGAGCTTTTGTGTCAAAAGCGAAACGTTATCCAAATAAAGACTACCGATTGTTTATCAAGCTCTTTTGAACGATGACTTCTCAATCGGTTCCAAACCTTTTCCAATTGAGTGAAATTTGGTGAGCTTCAGAAACATAAGTGTAGTTTAGGAGGGTTTTAGCTTAGGTACTTAGGCAGCAAAATGCAACATTTCGGCGTAGAAAGCTTTACTACACGTGTGAAGGTTTTGCAGCTGAGAGCATTGTGCGGTCGTGGGCACCCTTGCCGTGCTGGAGGTGCCGCCGCCTATTTGTACGCCCAAATTACTTTCGCCAAAACTATAGGGTTTTCGGAGTTGTGACTTTCACGGGGGGCCAGTCTAATCCACCTGCACCTTCCAATGATGCACCTTGCATTTTGTTTAAGCGAGGTCAAAGACCATCAGCGATTTGCATTTTCTTCCCGGTTTAGGCGTCATTAAACTCGAAATTGCACTTAAGCATATTTTGGAGGTCTTCGTTGTTTCTGAAGGATAAAAAATCTTAAGAGTATTTGTTGCAAATCCCACCCCAGAAGATTAGTCGTAGGCGTTTTTTGCTTTACACTCCTCATATTTAACAAATGGGATGATTTTGTCCGGTGAGCCTGTTCACAACACATTTTTCTCATGGATCTCATATTCCGTTAAATGCAATAAAATTAGATAAAAGCATGAACATTGCAGTGGCATTGGGAGGGCCATCTGTGGATGGTCCCTTTCCCAAGGTGTGCATAGTTAGTTTGTAGATAATACGGCGTCACGAGAAAGCTGCGCGCGTCATTCCTAGTGTGACTATGACGTTATATCGGTGGCGACTACCATGAAGTGGTCGCCATGATTACGGTAGACTTTGTCACTCACATAGACTACGTATCGTAACTGCTGGGTCCGTATCTATGTGCGACGCTGATTATGGAGGCACAACTATGAGCGGCAGCCCAATCCAATGAGCAATGTGCTCGTATGTCTACCCATTTTCAATCATCTCGAATACTTGTTTTGACTGCTAGGCCTGCGTCTATGTGCAACGTTGATAAGGAGACTGCATCTGTGCACAGTAACATAATGTCGATCTCTCATCATCATCATTGTCAGTTGTAATAACCGCGTACTCGTCGTACAGTGGTTTTAGATGCCGCAGTTTTGTTCACAGGTGCTTTGGCGGGAAGGGGTAGGCGGCTGTGTATTGAAGGTGGGAGCTGATAAATTGGTGCATAAATCCAGCACTGTCAGTGGGCTGTCAAGCGCGGGGGTTGGAAAAGGAGCTATGCACTGAAGTCAATGGCTTGGATACACGAGCTCCATTGAGGGCGCGACTGGGCCGTATCTGACAATGTCTCTAGCCATTGATATGGCCCGTCTCGGGGTCCCCATCCAAGAAGACAGCAGTGGCCAGCGCAGCTGAGTTTGCTGGTAACCGCTTTTATACTTCACTACCAAGTCATTGCTTGACCGCCCCTGACTCTCTTCCACCCTTCACCTGGTTATGCGAAAAGAAACCTTTGAGGAAGTGGGTCGACTAGCATACGCAGCACGTGGCCAAGTCAGCGCAACCTATGCAGTGTGTTATTTTTTCCGAATACCATTCGATGCTTGCTAATCCGGTGTTCCCATCAGATTCGGGCAATGCTCCAAAGACATCGGTGGCCTAACACTGAAAGGTTTTGACGTCCTCAGCGCGCAGCGGCCAGGTTTCTGATCCATTTAGTAATATGGAGCGCACCGCACCATTGTAAACTCAAAGGAGAGAGAAACTGATGTCACGCCTACGCCACAGGTGACGTAGGCTCTCAAAAGCTGCTCTGGCCTTCCCAATCCGGATGGAAGTTCCATTTTTCGTGAGACCACCGGCACTGATACAGCTGCCCAGGTAAGCAAATTTGTCTGCTACCTCAATCGGTTCAGCCGCAAACATGAGGCCAGGGTTTGAGCCCACCAAATCTTGCAGTGGCACTTTACACTTTGCAGTTGTGAAGCGCATGCCAAACTGCGAGGCAGAATTATTCAGATTATTTAATATTGTTTGCATTACCATGGTACCAGATCCCAGAAGAGCTACGTCGTTATCTGTGAGCGGAGGCCCAGGGGGCACTTCAACGCCACAGGCATTAGAGACTGGTAGTGAGTCTTCCATGATCGTATCAATGATGAAGTTGAAGAGGAAGGGTGAAAGAGATCAGCCCTGTCGGAAACCACTTGATGTGGTGAACTCAGGAGAGAGCTTTCCGTAGACAATTACCGATCTTTCATATCCTTAACTGTACGCGACGCCGCTTATCCTGGCTACCTAATGTAAACAGCAGTCCAATATATATGCCGACCGGTAAAAATAAGGCCTCAACTGCGCGTGATTCCCCCATCTGACAACGTGTTATATTCACAGCTGTACTCGAAGTCACCTAACTTGACTGTTGATCGTACCTGTGGAGTCCGTGTCCTTGTGCATACCTACCTAATCTAATGGCGAACGACGGGCCTCAGACTCACAGCTGTACGCGGCATCGCTCATCTTGACTACTTTTTGAAACTACTTGGCCAGTGCCTATATGCGACACTGATTATCAGGCCTCAGTTATGCCCAGTGTCCTAAGTTAACTGCCAAAGTTGGCCCGTCATACCCATAGCTGTGCGCGCTCTCGCTTATGTCTGCTACCTATATCATCATCACCGAGAGCGTGACATCAATGCTCAACACCGATCTTCACTGCCGTACCTGCCTGCTACCTATAGTAAACACCAAGCCAGTATCTATGCTGGCCGATAGAGACTAGGTTCCAACTATGCGTGACGTCATAATTTAACGGCCAACGGCGACCCGTCATGCCCGTAACTGTAGTCAATATCGCCTACCTGGTCTACTCATCGTAATTGCAAGGCCTGTGTCTATGTGCAACGCTGAGTATAAAGCTACAACTATGCCCAGTAGCCCAGTTTACTGGCCGATGACGGTTCGTCATACTCGTAACTATACTCGATGTCACCTACCGAGACTACTTATAGTAACTGCCAGGCCCATGCACACTCTCGTAGCTGACTATAGTGCCCCAACTGTACATAATGAACTAATCTTACGACCAACGGCAGTCCTTCCTATCCATACGTCGTCCACCCGCCAATACCCCATACCTGAAAAATACACAACCACCTTTAAAAAAATCATGTTTGTCCTTATTGGTTGCATCGGTACAAACATAATGAGCGGTCAATCCAGTTATCAGATTTTCACTTGATAGGGTTTCTGGAAAAATGTTCAATCAATTATTACTCGTACACATCTTACGCGATATCGTTTAAAACACAATTATACAAAGTTATAATGGCTACATTACCAAGCGCTTAATAAATCCTCTTGTCCAAAATTGCCGGTCGTTGTCCGCGCTGAACCTGGAGACCCGCTGATATAAAGGTAACTTCACCTTTTCCTTAATCAGTCCAATTGGCGATAACGAGGGAGCCTTGTGTACATTGATGATTCGATGGCGGGGTTCAGTAACCAAATGAGTTATTGGG